TCACTCAAACTAGATTATGCATTACATACACACCAAACAACATTCAAAACTCCAATAAAAATGTCGTTACTCAAGCTTGTTTATGGAAAATCCTACCATATGCCTTTGGAGATAGAGCACAGAGCTTATTGAAAATTTCAATTTTTGAATTTTAATATTCCGTCTGCCAAACAGAAGAGAAAGAAGTTTTTTACGGATCTGGACGAGTTTCTTTTTCTTGCATATGATAATTCCCAAAATTAAAAAAAAACAAGCTCAGTATTATCAAGATAAGATGATAAAACAAAAGCACTTCGAGGAATGGGATAAAGTATTGCTTTACAACTTCAGATTACACATATTCCCTGAAAAAACTCAAGTCGCGATGGACTAGACCATAAATTGTCAATGAAGTCCTCGTGAGTGGTGCTGTGCAAATCTAAAATTTAAATTCTTCAGATGATCGTGATGTTTTTTTGGTGAATGCGATGCATTTAAAAATTTTAATTGAAGAATTTTCAATTATTCGTAATTCTAAAAATTAACACCAATTAATGCGAATCATACTACTGATTGTCTCCGGACGAACAATGATTATGTGTGAGGAGAGAATGCCAACATTAAACTAATGCATATGTATCTTTTCAACAATCATGTATTGATATTTTAATGTTGTTTATTGCTTTGATTTTTATCACATTCTAGAGTAGATTATACGTTTTTTTAGGGTTAGAATCTGAGAGGCAAAACTAAAACGATTCACAGGCTATCATCACAATTGTGATTTTTTAGAACAAAATTTTTGAAAATTATACTTTGACCCCTCCAATTTTTTCAAATTTTAAAGAAGCCACTTAAAGGTTCTAAAACCCTTAAACCCTTAAACCCTTCAGTTCTCTCCACTTACCTACGATCTAACCTTGCAACTTCTATCAAGAAAATTCACTTGTATGAAAGTTACAAAACTTCAATCTTTCTTCACAATCGAGTTATTCAAACACCTATCTAAAATTGCAAACTATTTATAGTAAATCAAGGTATGCACACTTGATTCCATGGGTCAATATTTATGCATTAAACTCCCCGCATTTGATCATTGAAACTTTCAAGTTGATCGAAAAAAGTTTACTACAACCCTTTGTTCTTATTGTGTTTTAACTACCTACTATTATTTGTTGCAAACAAAACTAGTTAAGGCTTATTTGTTTTGTCTTAAGGAACTCCATTTTATTTGAAAAAAATTTCAATTTATGTATATATTAATTTCTAAAGTTTCTACAAGCTGGTTGTTAGAACATGCAATTTTCCGTCAATCTAGGAAATTCCTTTCTAATTTGTTCTTTGCATTGTGAAAGGGTGAACATTGGTGTCCTAGGACAATTAGAACTGACTATTTGATATAACTCCTCGCTCGCATGCTCACGATTACAAAGTCATCATCTTTGGTTTTGAAGTAAATATTAAATAATTCTATTGTGATTATTTTGCATGAGTTTGTACCTCAGAGCTTACGATTATTGAAAAATAAATCCAAAAGCAATCAGGTTATTCTTGCAATATCCTAGTTGTGGCTTTCGCGGATGTACAATATGACATATAGGATATACAAAGAGCAGCTGCAATCTTCAAAGAGAACAAGAAAGAGAAATATGAGAAAGAATTTAAAAAGCTTGATAAGATTTTTTAGAAGAATGTTATTAAGCTGCAAAACTTCTTTGTAAGACGGCGATTTAACACCCATATGGGGCAGTGCTGATTAACTTTTTGCCACCAACAGAGTACTACAAGATGAAAAATTTTACGATCATGACTCAGGATTGTGTTGCACTAGATAGCTTATCGCGAAACCTACTGTGCAAGAAAGATAGTATTTCCAGAAGACTATTATCTTTGGGTGGATGTTGAGGGAAGTCTTAGCCCTAGAATTGCTAACTGGCAGCTAAGAACCTAGTTAACTACAAAGATGAGCGATTCACTAAAGTACGATTGGATTTCGAGTTGGAAGGCTAACGTGTTCTTGAATTGAAAGAAAAATAAATGAGTGTTTACGTAGAAGTATACATAGCAACACAAAAAGACGTAGAGGGGGTGCTAAAAAGGCTGTTAGAAGAGCGTTGGATGTCAATGCGTATGACCCAATAAGATTTGTAAGTGTGGCTGTATTGTCCAACATAAGCTCTACAGGGTAAAAAAACCACTTAATTGGGAAATGATTTGATTTGCAACACTTCAAAGATAAATTCATTCAGTGGACATTTGAGAAATGATTGTTGCAGCTATTAGCCAATCCCACATAATGTGAAAATATAGCAATAGTGAGGGAATTTTACATGAACCTTCTTGTTGAGAAATGTCTAGACAATGTTTATGTCCAGGGAGTAAAGGTAAATGAGTGTCTGATGGCGATCGCAAAGAATTTACTCTTGAAGGAGGAATTTTCATATAAAAAGTCGTTAAATTCTTATGAAGCCCTAGACGAGAAGTTGGCTTAGAAATACATATAGGATAAATACATGCCACTCTTGAAATGGGCCTCCATGCGAATTACTGCACCACGCATTTCACCGATATGTGCATGACGAATCTCTTTGTTGTGGCCAAAATTCTCTACAATCAGCCTATCAATATCAGTGAGTTGATCATCCATGACATCACCACCCGCGGAGACACTTTCATGAATGCTCTTAGATATGGCCATATGATTATAAAGTTATGTTGTGCAGTATGGGTAGAGATCCCAGTCGAACAACAATATGATAACACAACCAAATCACTTAGAGATCGTCAAGCTCTGGTTCAATAAAAAATCTAAGCTATGAAAATCCGACAGTAACATTCGAATACCATTCTCTAAGCAAGAGTGAAGTATAAGTCTCTTCAAACTAAACACTTGTGAATCTAAAGATATTATTAATAGCCAAAACAAATCAAAATATGATAACAAAATGAGGTTAAAATAACAACACGTTAATGTTATTAACTTAGGGTGTGTTTGCTTGGGGGACTGGATTTTAAATACACTATTCATCTCATTTTTTCCCCCAAAAACATCGAATCAAACACCTATTTTTTATTTTTTATATTATACTAAAAATTAATTTTACATTCAAAATATCACATCGATACCTATTTATATCACATCATACAACTATTTAAATTCAAAACTTTTACTATTCAAATTTCAACTCAAAATCCAAACCCCCAAACAAACACACCCTTAGTATACACTGAGGTTGAACAGTTCAATGCATCATCTCAGCTAAACAACCACTATACTATGTAATATTGACTATAGAAAGTTCAAAACTACAAACTACCTGTCATAACGCGTCAATGTCTCTCTTAAACTGAATTATGCATCTGTCTTGATTATGAGTATTTTCATTTATTTGGGGATTGTTGAACAAATCGATTTAAATAATCAATAAATTTAAACTCAAAACTTTTATAAAAAGAATTTTTTGGTAAGTAGAAATATATGGGCCAAATAAAATAGTTAATTGATATGATTTTCAATTAGTGGAGCTAGGTTAATTAGGCTAATTAAAAGGATGGACACATACACAATCGCAAGCACGAGACGAACTCAGGTCTCGGGTCTTGAGTCTTGGGTCATAGGTCGTGGGTCTTAGTAACAGCTCTTGGCGATGTCAGATTTTGCACCATAATCTAATGTTTTAATCAAGAATAATAATATTTTTGGTACTGCTCGAGATGAGTCCCAAGTACAAGCCCATTTTTTAAGCTAAAAAGAATCCTAGGTGCATCACCCAGATTGCATTGGTCAAACATCTATCTATGTGTTTTGTGTGACCATGAGGTAAGAGTTCAAATTACAACGCCTCCAAATTTTGTATAATATACATAATTTGTCTAATGTGACTTGTCTTTTCGTACCTAATTGCCAAGCTATTAGGTTTGGCGGAGGTTTACCGAGAATGCATTTGAAAAACAACTACTGTGAGTTTCCAATTAATCAAAAAATAAAATAAAATAATAATCAAATATGTAAATATATAGGTCTGTTTTGTTTGTGTTTTGATTCAAATTGTTTTAAATGAAATTTTAATTTAATGTTTATGAAAAAAATATACTACCTCCGTCTGGCTCTAAGGTCTCATTTATTTTTTGCGTGTTGATATTTGAATATTAATTATTATATCAAAAAGTAGTACAAATTAAGAAAAAATTGCAACAATACTTCTATTAGTGTCTTATAATACTAATAGAAGGACATTTGTACAAAAAATTATACAAATATATGAATATTTTTAATGTTAAATAAAATGACATAAAATGTAAATGAGACACTTAGAGAATGACGAAGAAAATATGTATTTATTGTTAATAGTCTAGACTAAATATTGAAAAATTTCTTTGAAATTGTAAAAGAATGAACAAAAAAGATAATCTAAAAAAATTAGTAAATACAATACAAAAATTTTAACAGCTTTTGAACATGAGATTAGATGATTCTCTATCGTTCAATATTTTTTTTATTTTTAAAATTATTAAATCAAATATAAATTTTTTATTTTTTTTATATTATAGTAAAAAAATTTTTTTTTTTTTTTTTCAAACATGATTTGAAACATTGAGTGATTCCCAACTCAAAATTAAATTTTCAAATCCACATCGAAATAGATGCATAAGAAATTCACTTCCAAACACAAGAGTTGTGTTCTCTTGTAAATTTTCTAAAATTTTTAATTATTGAATTATTTTTTAAAAAAAATACAAATTAAATACATATTTTTATTATATACTTACAAAAAAATTATATTCAAAATATATTTCTCTCCAACACAAGTCAAAGTAAATAATACTATTAAGCAATATTAAAATGATCTTTATATATTATTTTAAATGTAATCTAATATGTTTATTTGTTCCCGTGGGGCACGTGCACCCATAATTTTATATGCATCTCCCCACCACGTACACGTAGCAACCTACACACAACACAAATATATATATATATATATATAATATACATGCAATAAAAGAAGTAGAAGTAGCAGTAGAAGCAAATGGCTTGTTCATTCGGCACCACCTTATACCGTAGCTGCCCAACGCCGCCGCGGCCGGAGCTTTGGCCTGCCCGTCCACGTCGCCGCCTTTGCATGTCGTCTTCGGTCAGAATCGTGGTGCCGCCGCCACCGGTCATCACGAGTTACGATGTGCTGCGCAAATACATACGTCAGCCATCGATGGTTTGTCTTCCTCATTTGTAAAGCAACACGGGCGTGTTATGCTTTTTGATCCTTATGTCTTTTTAAACGAGTGATTCTATGGGCTTGTTTACCAATATTTCATTTCCCGACATAATTCCTAATATATATATTTTGTATTTTTATAAAAAGTTAATATTTAATATAAAATATTACTCCCTCCGTCCTAGATACTATGTCCACGTTGTCGTTTCTGTCCGTCGCACATACCATGTCACTTTCTTTTTTCGGAAAATGATTACGCAACTTTAATCTCATTTTAAATTTTTTAATTTTTTTAATTTTAATTAAACTAATTAGTTATCTTAATCTTAATTTATAATTATTTATATTATAGAATAATTATTTTCACTAATACATTCTTAATTATCTACTAATTACATCCCTCCTATAATATTGTGTGTACAGTGTAGCAGACACAGTATTTGGGACGGAGGGAGTATCTTTTACATTGCCGACACAATTCTATACTTCACATAAATAAAATAAAATAAAACACTAAACGAACAACCTGTATATTTATTTCCTTGTGTTCAATTATTGATCTGTGTTTGTATAATTATTGTCAGAGCCTAAAGAACCTTTAAATATTATAGGGTTTGTTTGATCTGCGTTTGATTTGAAATTTGAAATTTGAGATTTTTTTAAAACAAAAAAATTTAATTTGAATAGTATTTTTATTTTATGATAAAAATAATATTTTAATTAAAATAGTGTCAATTAATTAGTAAATAATTTGAAGGGAAATGCAAATCAAAAGACCCTAATGTTTTTTGTTTGATTTTTGTATGTGTTTTTTATAATAGTAATATTTTATAAAATGAAATAGAAAATATTTTTATAGGAAATTATCATAGTTTTATACTTTGTTTGGGTGAAGATTAAAAAATAATAATATTTTTATATTATAATGATATAGATAAAATAAAATAAAATTGAGGTATTATACGAAATTTATTAAAAGAATAATAAATACATATGAACAAGTAGAAAAAATAATAGTCAATTAGTTATTTTTTGTTAAACAAAAATAATAGCAAGTTTTTTATGATTCGAGAATCCGTGGCTACTCGAAAATGTGAATCGGGTAAACTTTTGATCGAATATAATACTGTGCAAATTAGGCACCACACTAAGTCACATTATGCGGATCAATAAAAAAATAATAAAATTTTGAGTGAATAAAACTGTTTGTGATAATTAAATTAGGATAATGACATAATTTGAAATACTTGAATCAAATTAAAAAAATAAATAAACAAACTCATATTCTGTGGAGCTTAATTGATATGTAGTTGAATAAATTGTATTTTTTTTTTCTCTCTGGAATCGAAAAATTATTTGAATTTCTTTTATTTATTTATTTATTTATTGTGTATGAATATATGTATGTTTAGCCACATCCTTTCAAAGAAGACGAGGAAGGCAACAAGAGAAGGGAATATCTGCTGGAAGAAACAGCAAGAACACTGAGAAGATCATCTAAACCGCCATTGGAGACACTCAAGCTCATCGACACCATCCAACGCCTCGGAATCGCCTACTATCTCGACGACGAAATCACCGCCCTTCTCCAGAACCAGTTCTCCCTCGCCGGAGAAGATGATGACCTAATCGCCACCGCCCTAAGGTTCCGATTGCTCCGCCATAATGGCTTCCCCGCCGCCGCAGGTACACCACACACACAATACATACATACATATATATATATATATGCATGTTAACAGAGTCGACTCTTAGCATGAGCAACCTGAGCAATTGCTCAGGATCTCTATTAAAAAAAAAATAGTATATCAGTAAAGTAACGGAATTTCGTCCCTAAAATTCACATAGCTAACGATAATTTTATCTCTAATTTCGTCTCTAATGTCATTAGTAACAGAAAAAGTGAATTTAGGACAAAAAAAAATATTTTGTTACAAAATTAATATTTTCTTGTAGTGATCTACTTCATGATGGTCCATATTTTTAAATTTTATATTACTATTATCGGATATATTACAATTTAATTTAGATTTTATTCTTTATTTTTCTCAATAATTATCCCATCTAATTTTAATTCTAAAATTAAATTTTAACCAAAATTTTCTAAAATCAATTCTATCTTTATCGCCTTTAGAATTTGTAATTATTATTATTGAGTTATTAGTTTTAATAGTCATAATATTGTGAAATTTTATAATAGTAAAGATATGTATAGCAAACTACACCCGTCAATCTACTCCACACCAGGGGAAAAAAATCATTTGGTTATAGCGCCTATTATTTACTTTTTTTGCTCAGAGCCTTAAAAATATTAGAGACGGCCATGTATACGTATATCCTGCTAATTAATTATCAAATTTTCAAACGCACAGACGTGTTTCTGAAATTCATGGATGAGAGGGGGAAATTCAAGGAATTGTCCATGCCGGAGGGCGGATTAGGGCTGCTGAGCTTGTACGAAGCGTCGTACACAGGCGCTAGAGGAGAAGAGACGATAATGGAGGAAGCAAAGGTGTTCTCGAGAGCTCGCCTTCAGCAATGGCTTCCTCAGCTTCCACAACAACTCCGGCAGGCGGCGGCGCAAGCGCTGGCGGTGCCGACGCACCGGCGGATGGCGCGGCTAGAGGCCAGGCGATACATTCAGGAATACGGTGGGGGTAATAGAGAGCTGATCGAACTTGCAGTATTGGATTATAATAGAGTTCAAGCTCAACACCAAATGGAATTGACAGAACTCACAAGGTTAGTTAGAAATATATATATATATATATGTATATATAATTCTTATGGTTGCGTTGTTTTGTGCGTTTTACAGACATGTTTTTACTATTCAAATTCATCTTTTTCTCAAAAAATATCACATCGGACAATTATTTTTTTTTTTTATATTATACTACAAATTTATTTTACATTCGTAATGTTACATCAACCTCTATTTATATCACATCAAATAATTATTCAAATTCAACTTTTTAGCGTTTAAAAATCCAAACTCAAAGCAACTCATGCAGTGGGTTGTGCAAAAATTGGGGGCACTCCATTTTTTGAGTGGAGTTTGTATGATATTTTGTGGTGTTTGTGTATTTTTGTAATTTTTTTGAGTATGTTGTGTAATTTTATTTTTTTAAAAAAATAATCTATAATTTTATTTTTTGAAAAAAGTGATATAATTTTATTTTTTTAACATAATGAATAATTTTATGTTTTCAAAAGTGATATATAATTTTATCTTTCGAAAAGTAATATATAATGTGTAATTATATATATTTGGGTTATATTGTAAAAATAAATTAAAGTTGGGGTGTAATATAAATATAAAAAGTTATATAAAAGAAGAATATATAGGGAATATACTTTTTAGAGCGAAAAATTGAAGTTTATGGTTAGAGTAAAATGAGTGTAGATGAACTGCACTTTTAAAGTAGCTACTGCAAAAATGAAGTGGTCTAAAAAACTAAAACCTTCAAACAAAGACATTTGTTTTGATGAGTTTGGAAAAAAAATTGGTTATGTTTGGTATTAAATTAATATATAACAAGATGTTTTGTGAGGGAAAAAAAAATGTATTTTTTTTAAAAATACATAGTTCGAATAGTAAAAGTTTTGAGATATGAAATCTAAAGAAACAAACTAAAAATATATACAACACTTATTATAATTAATTTCAGCATAATTTATCAAATAATTTCAGCATAATTTATCACATAATTTGCCCTTATTTTCTATTTTCGTCCGTCCTACATAACTTATCCTTTCTATTTTTGGAAATATAATTATGCACTTTAATCACATTTTAAATTTTAAATTTTGTAATTTTCTTAACTTTAATTAAAATATTTATTTATTTTAATCTTAATCTATAATTATTTTTACTAAATAATAATTATTTTTACTAATATATTTCTTAATTTCTTACTAATTATATTTTACCTAAATTCTCGCGTCTAGAGTAATAACTCATATTATATGAGACGGAGGGAGTAATAGACAGTAGTAATCCATACAATGTATATGCTCAAAATAGATCACACTTTAATATAACACAATATATAATATTAATAATATCATATGTAATGGTAGACCACACATTGGTAGTGATTTTAATTTTAGTAATGCATTAGAAATTGCATAATATTCATATATATATATATATATATATTGTGTTAATCTATTTAAATGCATTGAAAATTAATTTTATAACTAGTTGGATAATAGTTTAATTGAAGCTGATATAATTTGACAACATAAACCTCTTTTTTTTTTGTTTTTTGTATTAATAAATTTGGGGTAAAAGAACTTATGATGTGAAAAATCAATTCAAGCATGGACTGAATTAATCACATATAGGATCGCATGCTGAATTTAATTAGGACTATTAATTCGAAAAATATTTTTATATTGATTCAACGTTAGCATGTGATCTATCAAAATCAAATAATAGTAACTATTGATTAAATAAGGACAATTAAATCAATTTAAATATATAGTTTGAATCAATGGCCGTTATTAGTCATGAGACTTTTTCCAATATATATATTCTTGTTTGAGAAAAAAATAATAATAAAAATTATTGTTTGTCGGTTGTTTTTCTACTTTCTAATTCCTCTAGTCATTTATTTAAATTTGACTTGTATGATTCTTTTGATAAATTTAGGAAAATTTTGATTTGAGTTTGATATTAAAATAATATATAATGGAATATTTTGTAAGATAAAAATATAAATTTTTTTCGAAAATGCAGAATCCAAATAGTATATATAAACTTGAGGTTTGAAGGTTGGAGAAACAAACCAAAGTTCGGAATTTAGTTTATCTTTGACCCTTTAGTTAGGATTTTAAACAATGCTATGTGGCCATCGTTATTATATACTCCCTCCGTCCAATTTCTATTATCCTAAAGTATATTTGCACGATTTTTTAGGTGATTGTCTTTTTTGTTATGAATCGACAAATTTGTCCTTAATTGTATGGTAGAGATTAAAAAAAATAAATGAATGAAGGGTAAAAATGTAAAATTTGTGTTTAAAAAAAGAAATATGACAATAGTTGTTGAACGTTCCAAATAGGAAAGTACGACATTAGTTTGTGGACGGAGGGAGTATATAATAAAAATATGGCATTTTAAAAATGGATCACGACGGGATAACTCAATTCAGTATAGAAACTGAAGTAGTCCAAATACAAAACCTCTTAAAGATATATTTCGAAAAGTGATAAGAGCTCCTATTTTCTATGCCCAAAAAAATTAAGATATAGTGTTTGATTAGCATTTTATTTTGAGATTTTTTTTTTTTTTATGTGAAGTCAAGAAAATTATATCGGTAATATAAAAAATAATATTTTATGTTGAATATTGATTTTTTTTTAAGAAAATAAAATATATATTAAAAATTAGTGTCTTTAATTGGAAACTGGTGATATTTACATAGCTGGTTATTAAAAAGTTCACGTTTGATTGATGTGAAATTGCATGGCTATAGCAATATTTTGCTGTAGTTAATTGAATATTAATATAATTAATAAAAATCGTGTACATTTAATTTCACAAAATCAAATCAAGATTATATAATCCTGTAAAAGTGTTACTAATAATCCATTGATTAGGTGGTGGAAACAACTAGGGCTTGTTGAGAAGTTACCGTTTGCTCGGGATAGACCGTTGGAGTGTTTTCTATGGAGCGTTGGACTTCTTCCGGAGCCCAAATACTCTACATGTCGAATAGAATTGGCTAAAACCATTGCCGTTTTATTGGTCATTGATGATGTTTTCGACACTTACGGCAAAATGGACGACCTATTGCTCTTCACCGATGTTATTAAGAGGTAACACATTATATTCAAGCAAAACATATATATTTGTCTATGTTTTAGTTATTAATATTGTAAGCTACACTAAATATAGGCTTAATGATTTTTTTTTATTTTATTTTTTATATTTATACGATGAACACACTTGTTTGTTTTAGATGGGATCTTGCAGCCATCGAAACCCTTCCCGAATACATGAAAATATGCTACATGGCATTGTACAATACGACTAATGAAATATGCTACAAAGTTCTCAAGGAGAATGGATGGAGTGTTCTTCCTTACCTTAAATCTACGGTACGTAATTTTTTATTCAGTTCGTTCTGTTTGTTAAAATAGAAAATAATTCATTATAAAAATAGATAAAAATTAGTATCTTTAAAAAATACATGAATGATGAGAGAACTATTGTCACATATATTGACTTATGATTGATTGACTTTTTTTTTTCGATTCAATCACTTTTATATAAAATTACATTCAACGTAAGTTTGAATTTATCTTATAAGATGGATATGTCGATAAATATAAGAAAGTTAAACTGATACAAGTGAAAAATATCTTCATACTACATTTACATTTTATATAGTTACACATTAATCCTAAGAAACATATTTAAATACATGTTTATGCAGTGGATAGATATGATCGAAGGTTTCATGAGGGAGGCGAAGTGGTTCAACGGGGGTCGGCCCCCAAATTTGGATGAGTATGTCGAAAATGGTGTTTCCACTGCCGGGGCATACATGGCTTTGGTGCATCTATTCTTCCTAATCGGGGAAGGCATCAACGAAGCAAACGCTCAATTGTTAACCAAACCCTATCCAAAGCTCTTCACGGCTGCCGGCCAAATTCTTCGCCTTTGGGATGATCTTGGAACGGCCAAGGTATGCACATATACATATATGTCGGTAGTTATGGTGTTGATTGTGATTAATTAGCCTTATGCTGATAGTAAAAGATATATAGACTAGTAGCACATAAGGTATAAATCAAACGCACAAAATATATTTTAATATACTATATAAACTAACAGTGCATAAAAATAATCCGCACAATACATATTACGATTAATCTTAGCATAAAATGTATGTTAACACTACACATCAGTAAAATATGAACTAAAACATTAGATTAATCCACACAATACCTAGTGTATTAATTCAAATAGTGTGCTGGTATTTTATATTTTATATGTTGTCAGTACAATACTAATTAATACACAATGAACACCTTAACAATTCTTAATATGTTGTAATTAATTTTACAATTTATTGTAACAGGAGGAGCAAGAACGAGGGGACTTTGCGTCAAGCATACATTTATATATGAAGGAGAAAAACTTGGGGAGTGAAGAGGAAGGGAGAAGTCGTATTTTGGAAAAGATAAACAACTTGTGGAAAGATTTGAATGGAGAAGTCATGTACAACCACACGCGGATGCCTCTACCGATTATTAAAGTCGCGCTTAACATGGCTAGAGCTGCACAAGTTGTGTACAATCACGACCAACATACTTATTTTTCTAGCGTCGACAATTATGTTGAGGCCCTCTTCTTCACTCCTCTAGCAATTTGAATACATTCTTCCTTGATGCAATGCATGTATGTATGTGCGTATAGACTTAGTATAAATGTATGTATCCATAAAAAAAATTACATGCAAAAATGTATTTTGGTTTTGAAGAGAATTTAGGAATATGAACTTTTTGTATTTCACCAAAGAAGTAATTTACAGTACATCAGCAGTATATACATTCGTCCTCTAGAGAATAACAAACAGAATCTAATCCCTAACAAACTAATTGTAACTTGGGCTTAAATCTAAAATTGATAATGGGCTACAAATAAAAATATATAATACAAAAAAAAAACCCATGAAACAACCAAATTACCTAACATTTATCTTCTTTCTCACCTTGTTCCTCATCTCGGTTCCAATCCATTTTGCAACATTCGGCTTCTAATGCTCCATTGTTCTTCAATTTTTGACATCCTCTCCTCGAACCAAACATGATCATGCACAACTTAGAGCGCAAATTTTTTAACATTAGATTGCATAAGTTCTTGGTGTAGATGTCAGCAATCTCAGATTTGCTTCTAACATGAACTAAAGATATGAAACCAATCAAGACATGATGTCTAACAAAATGACATGCAATCTTAATATACTTTGTTCTTTTATGGAACACCGGACTATGAGCTATATGTAATGCTGAAAAATTGTCACAATGCAATGGAATAGGTTGTGACACAATCACCTTCAATGAATTCAGAAGATAGGAAATCCAAAGCAGCTCGTTTGTCGTTGTGCTCATACTCCTATACTAGGCTTTTGTTGATGAAGTGCTTACCGTAGACTGCTTTTTAGCTTTCCAAGAGATAAGATTCGATCCAAGGAACACATAATGACCGATAATAGATTTCCTTGAGTCAGGGCATATACCTCAATCTGTATCACAATAGGCTTTCAAATGCAATGAAGATGTTGAATCAAATGTCAAGTTGTGATTCATGGTTCCCTTAAGATATCTTAGTAAGTGTGTTGCTGCCCTCCAATGAGTGATAGTAGGTTCACTCATGAATTGACTCAACTATTGTGTGGCAAAAGTTATATCCGGTCTAGAGAAGTTCAAATACAACAACCTTTCAATTAATCTACGGTACATTGATGCATCAACAAGTGGTTCACCATCTTTATCAGAGAGCTTCAAAAAAGTAGGCAAAAAAATGGTTGTTAATTTGGTTTCTACATGTTCGTGTCATCAGGAATATCAAAAATATATTGACTACCTTTGAGTCAAAATCATCACATTTGCTAGTAACTTAATTTCCAATCCAAGAAAGTAGTTGGCCTTTCCCAAATCCTTGATTGTAAAAGCTAGATAAAGATAGAGTTTGACTTCGTTAATGGGTTTAGGTAAGGATCCTTCCAGCAGGATGTCATCCACACAAACAGTTAAAACCAAAATGTCTGCACCAATATCCTTGAAGAACAGACAATCATCACGAGGGGACTTTTCAAAACCAAACTATAAGACCTTATCAGCAAAAGTTTTGTACCACACACGTGGTGCCTGTTTGAGTCCATAGAGTGACTTCTTTAATCTACACTCTTGATCAGAAGTAACAGAGTAACCTGGTGGTGGCTTGAGATATAGTTCTTCATCCAAAGCTCTATATAAAAATGCATTATTTACATCAATTTGTTGAATCTTCCATCCCCTTGCAATTGCAACTGCTAAAACCAATTTTATTGTGAAACTTTTGGCCACAGGTGAAAAACATTCGTCAAAGTCAACTCCATGAACTTGTAAGTATCCCTTTGCAACAAGCTTAGCCTTATACATGTTTATGGTTCCATCCTTTTTTTTTTTTTTGGTTCTAAATACCTATTTGCATCCAATTGCTTTCATTCCTTGTAGTAGAGTGGTTAATTCCTATGTCTCATTAGCTTCAAGGACCTTAATTTCTTCAGTCATTGCATAAACTCAATGTGGTTTTTCTGCAACTGCAACATAAATAAGAGGCTCTTCACTTGCATCTTCGGGAGTTTCATGAGCATAAACGTAATCTTTCATCTAACATGGCTTTCTTTTGGCTCTATGAGGTCTGTCAAACTCCTCTAAAGTAGTTTGTGTAGGACTGAGAGATGCTGGTGGCATGTAGTTTTTATCAATATTTTTGGAAATCCCACACATTAGAGTCATTAGTAGGAACCGATCCAGCCAAAGGGTTGTTTCCTAGTGCTAGAAGCTCTGTGTTAACCGATTGGTCGTAGGTTCGAATCCTACTTGGGAATAGGGTGGACGCAACAGCTACATGGACCCCTTCTTTTCTGTTGTTGCCAGCGCTTTCCCTGGCCTGCATTGAACAGAATGCTCGTGGTCGCCGGCTAACACCAATCTCCTTTGTAAATATGTTATGAGTTGCCTTCTAATGAAACCGCAGATGTCCGGGATCGACGTTCCTTGCCAACTATCGACCCTGATCTTTCAATTGTTATGCCTGGTGAAAAATTATTAGGTGTGAGAGAGACACGTTGATTCTCTCCCACAGTAGGCAATGTACGGCATTGTGGCATCTCAAGGTTGAAACAAGATTTATCTTCAAGACCAGGGAAGACATCCTCATAGAATATTACATCCCTAGTTATTAGAACTTTATTTATTTTAATGTCCAAGACTCTATAACCCTTTGATCCTTGTTCATATCCGACAAATATACATTCTATTGCTCTATTCCCAAGCTTTGACCTGTAAGGATCAGTATTAAGGGCAAACCAAAGACATCCAAGAACTATCAAGTGATCTATATTTGGTTGAGTACTATGCAGTATTTGATAGGGATATTTTCACTCGATCACTGGAGTAGGAAGAAGATTTATAAGATGTGTTATTGTAAAAAGTGCTTCCCCCAAAAGGATATAGCCAAATTGGAATGCAACAACAATGATCTCATCACAATCGAGAGATGTTGCTGCTTTCTTTCCACACTTCCATTTTGCTGTGAATTATAAAGGTAGGTCTTTTCATGTATAATTTCATTTTCACACAATAGGTTCTTAAAGCAGTGACTTAGAAATTCTGCACCATCATCTGTCTTTACCTTTCTTACCTTAGTTTTGAACTGATTTTCAACAAGCTTTAGGAAAATAGTAAAAAATTTCAAAGCTATAGAATGCTAAAATTGCTATTTTCATGCAATAGTTTTAATCAATGATACAATGTGATAAAAATGCTATAATGTATGTTACTAAAATTTAATTTATAATTTTGAGGACAAAATTAAATATATTTAATAAATAATAAAAATATATCATATTATATATAAATATTATGTCATGACAATAAATCAATTAAACTTTAATATTGTTATATATTATATTGCTATAATTAGAAAGAAAAAGAATATATAAAATAATTTATAATTCAATCATTTATAATAATATTATTAAGGTTATTTTGAGTAAGAAAAAATAATCATACTATATAATCAAACAAAGTAAACATAATATTACCTCCGTTTTGCTTTAAGGGTCTTATTTACTTTTTGCGCGTTGATCTTTGAATATGAATTATTATATCAAAACGTAGTACAAATTAAGAAAAAATTGCAAAAAATATTTCAATTAGTGTCTTATAATACTAATAGAATAACATTTGTACAAAAACTTATACAAATATAAGAATATTTTTAATATTAAATACAATTACGTAAAAGGTAAATGTGACCCTTAGAGGCGAACTGAAAAAATATAATTTTATATAGTAATATTTAATCACGCAAAATAAACGTCATATTAATTAATTCATTGATTATATAATCCATTAAAATAATTTAGGCATTATAATACAATCTTTCAAAGTAAATGCGTCCTATATATACAAAATTAATACATATATAATAGTGATCCAAATTTTAAGGCATGTTTTCAAATTGTTTCTTATATTATTTATTAATAATACATTTTAAAAAAAAATGTTCATTTATCATTATTATTTAAAATATAATACAAAATTTTAGTTTATATATAAAAATATTAAATTTAATTATATTTTTATATTATATTAAATATCTATTTTTTATTCAATTTTTTTTACTATTTTGAAATATGACATAACCTTGCCATTTAAAAATGTTAATTAAAACAAAAGATTAATGTATACACTACGGGCCTTGTCCCAAACCATTACATATTACTGCCATACAAAAGGCCCATTATCCCATTAAGGCCCACAACAATTCAAGGCCCAAAAAATAGTCGGTGTCGTTACGGCGTCGTTTAACTCATTCACCCCACATTAAGCGACTCCAAAGCCCCAATTTCTACGCCACTGTTGATTCTCCAACTCTCCCCCTTTCAATTCTCGATACCCTCCCTCATGGCTACAGCGATGGTTCTCGACCCCAAACCTACTCCATCCCTGCCGCCGCCGACGCGACCTCTGGCAGAATCGGACGCGTCTTCCCTCTCCACTGACCTGGAGGATGATTTGTACTCCCGGCTGAAGACGCTGCAGAGGCAGCTAGAGTTCTTCGAGATACAAGAAGAATACGTTAAGGATGAACTTAAGAATCTCCGGCGAGAGTTGCTGCGTGCGCAGGAGGAAGTGAAGAGGATCCAATCGGTGCCCCTCGTCATTGGCCAGTTCATGGAGATGATCGATCAGAACAACGCTATCGTTGGGTCGACTACGGGATCGAATTATTATGTGAGAATTCTCAGCACTATCAATCGGGAGCTTCTCAAGCCCTCCGGATCCGTCGCCCTCCACCGCCACTCTAATGCCCTCGTCGACGTCTTGCCCCCCGAAGCCGACTCCAGTATTTCTCTTCTCAGCCAATCGGAGAAGCCCGACGTTAATTACACCGTGAGTTTGCTTCTTCCTCAAGTTTCATCCCCCCTGTTCAATTTGCTTCACGGATTATCGAATTAGGGTTTTAGGAAGTTAAAGTTGCGAATTATCTAAGTAGCTTACAATACCTTCACTCAATTATATGGTTTATGTGCGACAGTAATGTTTCTAATGTTATTGAGAGTAAAACAGAATTTTTTCTGTCTGCACCACTGTTGTCACGACATCGCCATGGCGTCCCGGCACTTTTTGGGGAGTGCCAGGGTTCTTCGCCTGGCCATATTAAACAAAACGGCTTGGGTCGGCCTTCGCGACGCCATGGCGATGCCATGGTACTGGGCAGGCTAGCCCAGAGCCTTGTAAGTCTCCAGCCCAACCCAGGTCCCCAAACCACATCAACCTTAACCTGTAAACCTTAAACCCGATTGAACCTAACTTGTCATCCTCTTTCTCCCGCTCTCCTCTACACTCTCTATTTGCTTAGGGTTATTTTTTTAATACTATTATAATACTCCCTCCTTCCCATAACTAAGCATCCATTTACTTTTTGCGTGTTGATCTTTGAATATTAATTATTATATCAAAATATATTACAAATTAAGAAAAAATTGCAAAAATATAATGACATTTATATAAAAAATTATACAAATATAAGGATATTTTTAACGTTAAGTACAATGACGCAAAAGGTAAATGGACACCTTATTATGGGACGGAGGGAGTATTAGTGTTTAGTGTATTACATTATTACTTATTATTAATTTTGTAGTTATTTATTCTTAACTTTAAATCAACTTTTTATTTTTGTTTGTTAGTCATTTTTGTATTTTTTTTTAACATGTTACTATAAAATTAATTATAGACTTTAATTTCATATAAGATACTATCTCTATCCAGCCAGGAAGTAAACATATGTTTTTGCGTCCTTGTATTTAATATTAAAAATATCTTTATATTTGTATGGTTTACTCCAAAAATATGATTATATTTGTATTATAAGAGACTAATATATGTATTTTTGTCATTTTCTCTCTATTTGTACTACGTTTTGATATAATAATTAATATTTAAAGATCAACACAAAAATCACTGTGTACTTTGTGGCTGGACAGAGGTAGTATAATGTATGTATATATAAATTTTATACATTTGCATCGTGATCGCCATATTGTATCGTGGAGGTATGGCTGTCCACAGGCACGGCGCCACAAAACGGTGCCATTACAACCTTGGTCTTCACTCATTTCACGTTTCTTATTTGCATACACGATACTTTCAAATTTGGAAGTATAGTTAGAACTAATCTGTTATTATAAAGATGTCCATTGTTGAGGCTAACTAGCTGTGGCGAAAGTTGATTATGGTGCTCTACAGCTTATGGGTTCGGATGCTTATCATTGAGTGATTTTTCTATATGTAGGGTGGTGTTTACCTCTTTTGGTGGTGTATAATTGCTATCCTTACGCATTATATGTAATAATGTTATCTTCATTCATCCTAAGGATATAGTGTTTACCAGTTAATATGCTATCTTTGGTGGTTTTGTCAGGATATTGGCGGATGTGACATTCAAAAGCAAGAAATTCGTGAGGCTGTAGAATTGCCTTTGACTCACCATGAGTTGTACCAGCAGATTGGTATCGATCCTCCACGTGGTGTGCTGCTCTATGGTCCACCTGGCACTGGGAAAACCATGCTTGCGAAGGCTGTCGCTCACCACACAACTGCATCATTCATCAGAGTTGTGGGTTCAGAATTTGTTCAGAAGTACCTGGGAGAGGTATGCTTCAATGATCGATTGACTATTGACCCTGTATAGGCCTCCTTCCTTATGAAAAAATTGTGGACAACTGTTAATTAGCATTCATTCCATTGGAAAATCTGGTATAAATATCTTGCTATATAGTTATAATGCTGGTTACAGCCCAGATCTTGTTTCTCTTGATTGTTTGCTCTGCCTGAATAATGGACCAAGACGATGGAGAGTGTAATCCAAGTGATAAGGAATATAGCATGGTTATGTTTTGACAAATCCATACTTTTCCTGAGTTAGATAGTGACAGACATAATATATATTCAACGAGTATGTATACCACTTTTTTTTTACTTACATCACTTTATACAGCCTGTTCATCTTGCCAATGATAGAATGGTTACTATACCTTGGCTCATGTTCATTGTTTTCCACTTTCGTACCCCTAAAGTAGTTGGAATGAGAGAATTTTCATGGTAGCTCTGGCCTATGCTTCAGATTGTTCAAGCCATTTTCTTGTCGTTTCTGGCTTTGTTATTTTATTCCTTGATGAAAATGACAAACAGGACTGCCGAAACACAATAATGATCTTTTATTGGTTCAACAAATATGCGCAGGGCCCAAGAATGGTTCGTGATGTTTTCCGTTTAGCCAAAGAAAATGCACCTGCAATTATTTTCATTGATGAGGTGGATGCCATAGCTACAGCTAGATTTGATGCACAAACTGGAGCTGACAGAGAGGTTCAGAGAATTCTCATGGAACTGTTGAATCAGGTATTTTGAGATTTAGATAAAGAAGGTGCAAATAGACATAATATAAGGGAATACAAATTTCCTTTCAAATAATTTGTAAGTTTGCTTGCTCGAGATGAATTGCAGTTGTTACATTACCTTCTTGTAGAAAATAGAGCTAATGAAAATATTTTTATTTCTCTGGCCCAGTATCTTTTAACTATTCATTTGTAATATTCAATGTTTATGCAGATGGATGGATTTGATCAAACAGTTAATGTAAAGGTTATCATGGCCACTAATCGTGCTGACACTTTGGATCCTGCTCTTCTGCGTCCTGGAAGACTTGATCGTAAAATTGAGTTTCCTCTACCAGATAGACGGCAAAAAAGGCTCGTTTTTCAGGTTAATTTCGAAGATTTTGTACTCCCTTATATCTGCTTTTCCCCTTTTCAGAGTCATCAATCGTCTCATCCGAACTCCTATAAACTGTCTCCAAAATTATCTAACCCGAGAGCCAAAAGGAATGATATAATGAAGAAACAAAATAACAGACGATACTTTTGAGGCATTGATTGGCAATGCTTATAATATTTGCTTGTAGCTAAAAATCGTAGTTAAAAGTTACAACTAGAAGTGAAATATGTGTTAATAAAGATCGAGAATGAAAGGTAATGCTGAGTATTTGAGGAAAAATGATTCTATATCTAATGGTGGTTCTGGCTGGCCCTATTATTAGTGGGTGGGGTGTGTTTCTAAACGTAACAGATTTGTGATCATGCTTTTGGAGTGTTTTGTACATAGGGCCCGTTTATACTTGTTTGCTTACTGCACTTTGTTGGTTACAGAAATAATGTTATCTTTATTTTGAACATCACCGAACGATATCTAATGCTGGGTCCATTAAATACTAATTATTAAAAGAAATCTGTAAGATGCTAGAAGTACCCAGAGATGTTTTTTTGTTTACGGCTGAATCTGCTTCTTTTAAGCAGTTGGATGCAGAAAGCCAGAATTTGAACCCGCTCGACTCTTTAGTTCGTTTTATTTTATATATTTATATATATATATATATATTGTTATAATTAAAGTGTTTGGGAGAAACTCCATGAGTATATATGAAAAGAAACTTGGTAATTACATATATTTACAAGAAATGTTGTTCTGTAGGTTTGCACTGCAAAAATGAATTTAAGCGATGAAGTGGATTTGGAAGACTATGTATCTCGGCCAGACAAAATTAGCGCAGCTGAGGTCAGTAATTCTACCTTCATCTGAAGTCTCGCATCTTAGTGACTTGTCAATATATATATATACACATATATTCTTATTCAGTCTGTTCACTCAAAGTTAATTGATTTTTTATCTGTGGTATGGGGAATTTGTGTTGGTAATATAAAAAATAATATTTTGTGTTGAATAGTTGACTTTTATAAGTGGATGATATATATTATATTAATTGAACAATTTACCAATTGTCACTTGGAATTTACTCGTGCAGATTGCAGCTATTTGCCAAGAAGCAGGAATGCATGCAGTGAGGAAGAATCGGTATGTTATACTCCCCAAGGATTTCGAGAAGGGTTACAGATCCAATGTGAAAAAGCCCGACACTGACTTTGATTTCTACAAGTGATCAATCAGCATGTGCTTGAAAACTTTAAAGTGAGTAATCGATCATACTCTCCAGAATATGTTAAATTGATTATTATCTCACTCTACCATGAAAAACAAACTACTGTTTTATATGATTTTCGGTATTTCTGATTCCTACTTGTTTGTTATTGGGTACTATTAGCACTTGTTCTATATATGTTACCGGGTATTCTATAGCACAAATTTCTTATACGTCGCCGAGTTTGGGTATATGATAGTATTATATATATATATATATCTATTTGAATGATGGTTGTGGAACTGGAAGGGTGTTAAATCCCTTTCAGTTCCATGGATAGATATATATTTAAAAGGAATTCCCATTAGTTAAGAATAATGAATTGCAGTTGATTCCTCCTTGTCATTTTGTGTAGTGATGTTGGTTCTTCTATATATGTAAGTAAGTGTATGTATCACTGCTGCCTATCTATCTATCAAAAACGAACAATAAAGTTGTATAGGCGGCGCGACGGCTACAGTGTTGAATTTTAATATTAGACAGCACATAATATTTATTACCCCATATAGCACATTGTATATGTTAATATTATACAAATATAACACATGAATTATCAGCACATGCTATAATTTTATACAGCATACACACCAGTTGGTTTTAGTACATATATACTTGTATACAGCACATTTGTTATTATTATGTGTTGTGTATAATGCTAATATATGTTTGTATGTATGACGTGTAATTTTTTCAAATCAGCAGCGCAATGATCCCCAATTGTATAATATGGTCACAGGTTGAGGAGTTGGGTTGTCTTTGAAGATTCTCTTGACCGCTAATGGACATTAGGATTTAGATTTGATGCGAACTTGATCTCTTAATAATAATAAAAATAATAATAATAATAATAATAATAATAGGTGTGCATTTGTATTGCATGAGTTGTTTTGTTGTGGCAAGAAGATGTTCTTTGGTTCGTTATTGAATATAATAATAATAATAATAATAATAATAAGTGTAAACTGTTTTTTTAGTCCGGACCCCTTTTCATTTTAGTCCTATAAGTAGAGCCGGTTGCAAACTAGTTCCATAAGTGAAAAATTTTCGTTGTTTTAGTCCTCCGGCACTGGAGACGCTCGCGTGGCGTGGCTTGCCGGATGTGACGTGTCGCCAGGTCAGCCACACCCGGCAGACACGTGGATTTATTTATTTATTTTTATTTTTTAAATTTTTTTTAATTAGATCAAATAAAAAAAATAAAAAAAAATACAAATAAAATTTAAAATAAATTTAAAATAAGTTTTAAAAAAAATTAAAAAACTAAAAATAAAAAGAAAAAATCCACGTGTGTGTCCGTCAGGTCAGCGACACCTGGCAGACAGGACTAAAAAAATAATTTACCCTAATAATAATTAGTGTACTAATCTTTTTTATTTTTGTGGGGTGGGGTCGTCTTTATATGGCCCACGTATAGAAATTCTATGATTATTACTTTATTCGTTTCACATAATTTGTCTCTATTTTCATTTGTTTCATATAATTTATTTTTTTATTTATTGAAAATATGATTATCCACGTTAATTATATTTTAAATTTTATAATTTTTTTAATTTTAATTTATAATTATTTTTATTAATAAATTTTTTAATTATCTATTAATAATAATTTTCGTATCTATATTTGAAAAATTGGGTAGGAAAGGAAATGATTGAATATGATGTATGATTATAGTGGCCTCCTCATCCTCAACAACATAATAAGTCAAGGAAGGGAAAACGACAAGCATGCATGCATGCAAGCAACCATTTATCTTATTATTCCATTCTGTATTTCAGACTGTTTGTTGTGTAATTTTGAAATAAAATTATTATGAGTGTTTGTCAATTTTGCATAATTATTTGTTTCAATCAATAATATTGATCTCTTGTCCTCCTCTCCATTTTTTTAGAATGTTTATGTGTATTCTTGGGTAAATTTTGTTGTGTAAGAGTTTTGAATTTTGGGTTTTGAATATTTAAATTTTAAATGAATATAATTGTTTGGTTTTCTAATATAAATAAATATTAATATAATGTTTTTCATATAAAATTTATTTTTAGTATAATATAAAATATAAAAAGTAAATATGTGATTAAATGCTATTTTTGAAATATATATATAGTAAAAATTTATAGTATATTCTAAAAATAATAATAATAATAAGATGGATTGTTCAACCGTTTGAACTATACATCCCCAGTTGCATTCGACTGGATTAGGGAGAGTAGGGGGGGGGGGGGGGGGTTCAAGTGCCCCCTCTAGCCCCCGTGTGATTTCGTCCGTGGCTCCAAGTCACTTTGCCGGGCGGTTGGCACCATTCGTGACAAAAGTCGTGTTCTGCCACCTCTTATTTTACATTTCTGCACTTAGATAAACTTATTGATTTTGTAGTATAATCGTGAATTTTACTTCCTTAATAATTAATGAAATATTATTATTCTTTTATTCACCAATATTCCTAGATGACATTTAGATAAAATAATTTCTTAGAAAAAGTATCTTGAGAGAACCTTAAAAGAAGATATATAAGTCTCATAATCAAATTTACCTAGAAAGTTTCAAGATAATTATCTTGAGAGAACCAGTTTTTTGTTTTGAAGAATGTTTGAAGGTGTACATGTGTTCAAAGTTAAGTATATATTTGTTTTTTATTTTAAATACAAACTTTTATTATTTATTCACTATTATTTTTAATTAAAATATATTATTTTTTTAAAAAAATGTCATATTAAAATATTATTTAAATTAAAATTCAAATTATACTCAAAATCAAACAAACTAGTTATAATATGAATTAGGTAAAGTAAATAATGACAATGTTGAAAACAACTATGTATGATAATGGATTAGGTAAAAGTAAATAGTAACATATTTGGTCAAATGTGTTCTCTATAATTCTATACTGTTATGATGGAAGCTTCTGGAACAATTATAGTAGCATGTAAAATCTTCCGTTCCGTCCACTACAAAAAAAAAAAAAAAAAAAATTAGTATATTTGTAACGAAATTCCGTCACTAAAGATCACATAGCTAACGTAATTTCATCATTAATTTCGTCTCTAATATCATTAGTAACGAAAAAAGTGAATTTAAAGCCGAAAAAATCTCGTTATAAAAATGATATTTTTTTGTAGTGATCATAAATGATTTTTTTTTTTTTTTCATAAGAAATGATACATTTTTATTTTTAGTAATTTTTATTCATTTTAAATATACTTAATACAATAAATCAATTTAATTAAACTTTTAACTTCTTATAATAATTTAATATTTCTTCCGTCTCAACATGGTGAAACATTTGTTTCCAGGAATTTAGGTGGATAGTATTAAATAAAATAATTTGATAATTAACTGATATAATAAGAAAGAAAAATATATATTATTTGAGTGATGTGATGAGATAAAACATGTGATATAGAGTAATTATATTTCATTATTTCGTGTCGGTTGTTTGAGACAAACCAAAATAAAAATATTGCAAAGCGTTTGGAACAGAGAAATATAAATTTGATATAATATTTATGATAAAATGTAATGTGTCTGTATTTTATTTATTTATTTATTTATTTATCTATGTATATGATGAAAAAGCAATTTGCAAACAATTTATTTATATATTTATTTATTTTTTTGTAAACTTACAAAGATAGTGGGTTATTTTATACATAAAAAATAAACAAAAAGAACTAATAACAAAAATAAACAATATATATTTATTAGCCCTAATTTACACAAAAAAAAAATTAATAATACTCTATTGATTAGTCCTAACTTTAAATTTTTAATAGTTCATTATTTTTTGGATAATGGTAACATTTAAAATTTAAATGAGATACACAAATTTTTTTAGTAGTAGCACAATTATTAAATCATATAAATATTTTCTTGACAGAATAAAAACACTGGTGAGATGTGCTACCGCTATCTTACATCTCCGTCCGCGCTTGTTATTAGTTAATGGAAATATGTAAGATAATTTTGATATTTATGCTTCGAAAATGCAAATAAAATAAATATTTTTGTAAAAATCAGATATATTTTGATATTTAGATATAATTACTTTTATTATAATTAAAAAATATACTTTTTAGTAAGGCTGATAAAAATTGTAAAAAAACGAGTTGAGACGAAAAAATATTAGTATTATTATTGTATTTATTTATAAAACATCATATATATATATATATATATAACATCATTCAAAATTATTTTTGAGAGGTTCTAGCTTCTGCTTTTTAAAACACTCTCTCTAGTATGCCAATATTATTTTTTAATTGCAATTTTTTTAAAAAATAATAATAAATACATATATTTTATACAAAAGTAAAAAATAAATTAATTACTTATTATAAAAAGTAAAAAAATATATATTTTTTTAAAAAGTAAAAAAAAAATGGAATATTTACATAAAATAAAATATTTTATATTTTTTAAATTATGTCTCGTACCACGCATAAAAATCATTTTATCTGAAAAGTTGGGTGAATGAAGTCAGTATTTTGGCCATATTTAAATTATCTTTTAACAGGAATTTTTACTTTATGTTTTTAGAAAAAAGACTTTATATAGTATGTTTTAATCGATATTTATTAAAACTTAAAAGTATTTTTTTAGAAGCATAGACATAAAATTTGAAAAAAAATAAAAATAAAAATATTATTAAAATTAAGATTAAAATATTTTGTTAATAATAATAATAATAATGATAAATTATTATTATTATTATTATTATTATTATTATTATTATTATTATGATAACATAAAAAATAATTTGAGATACTAAATTTAAAATTGCAATTTTAGTTATAGTAGATGATTTAAATTTTTAAATATAATTTATAAAAATTTAAAATAAATTGAATAGTACAATTAATTCAACCTTAAATTGTTTATTTATTGTTATAATTTAATTAAAATTTAAGATAATTATATTAGATAATTTAAAATTCTTATAATTTATTAAAATTTATAAATATAATATAAAAACTTAACAAAAAAAATTATATTTACATTTAAAAATTTTGACTTCTGTTTATTCTTTAAATCAATCAAATAAAGCCTTAATTCATTATGTGATATGAGTTTGTTTTTATTTTTATTTTTATTTTTATTTTT